CCTCTGTTCTTGGAGTGTGTTGAGATGCATGTGTTAGTTGTGTAGAAAAGTCTCACAATTATCAGGCGAAGTGCTATCAATAAAACAAATTGTAAAATTGTCCAATGGGACTACATGTAGTCATTCTGATGAACAAAGAATAAGTCAAGCCAACATGTCCATGATAATAATATCAGTGATTACGATGTATTACCTGGGAAGCAAGGATATCATTATGAGCTTCAATCGTCTGCTGCATAAACTAAATGACAATATTATTATTATTGTTAAACGGGTTAGAGATCCAAAGTTAAACTTGTCGTCTGACAAAATCCCATCTTGCATACTTATTAGATGTCGTAGGAGGTTAGCAAAACGGTGTGCTCGATGTACATACTGGGTTCTTTTACTAGGGTTAAGATGATATGACTATTCAGACTTTTTGACGCAGAGGAAGATATACTTAAAAAAAGATTCCAAAAGATAATGTTTATTATGAATAATGAAGTACCATTTATATTATCTTAAACGTTTATTTATAGGGAGGTCGCCTTTTAGGAAACAATCAAATATTTAAAATCATATAACATAATAAAGGAAATAATATTGATAAAGGGGAAATTCTTCAAAATGCGTCCCGAAAATTTGCATGACACGTCTGAAATCTTTGAAGGCCCGAAAATCAAGAATTTTGATTTGATGTGTTGTATGCATCATAATTTCACCAGGATAAAAAATTATGATCGTTTGAAATTGATCCATTGATGGTGGTCGAATTCACCAAAAATAATTCCTACTCTCTAAATCACAAATAAATTGTACTTAGGGTGAGCAGAGTCGAATCCACAGAGACTGGCAAATTGTTAATCCTTTGAAAACCAAGTAAACAATAAAAGCGAAATTAAAAAGGGAGGTTTATGCAGAATATACTTAAATAAAATAAGCAAACAGAAATTAAAGAAAATTAGATTATGCAACATCTAGCAAAGGTAATCTCATTCAAGTTCGGAAGTTGATCATTGAGTCAAACGAATAATCTCAAACACTGCAATAGACTGGTTATGGTTGTTGAAACACTTCTAACAACCTAATCTGTCCTTAATATTAGATTAACCGGACACGCACCTGTGATTAATCGCTTATTAACGAATAACCCCGACACACACCCAGGATTCAATTCGCTAATAGCATGAAAAACGAGAAAAACCCAACCCTAGCCAATAAATCACACGCGTAACTTATTCAAGCTAGATCATATATTCTCATAATACAACCTGAAAATTTGATTTTAATCAAGTCATATTATTTGCCATTATTATTAAAACACTTAAACAATTATGGATTTTGGTATTTCAATTGGCAAACTATCACCCTATCAATTGCACAACGAGCTCTTATTGTAACAACCACTAAAGCAATGGTAAACAATAAAACAGAGAATATATAAATACTGCAGAAATTAAGAAAGAGGATTAAGTTTAGATCTCACAACTTGAATGAACTTGAACTTTGATAATCCTTTGCTAGATTAAAGAGGAGTTAGCCACACATGGCTACAAAATGCGCAAAAGAGAAAAAAAATATGTTTCTGAATTTTCTGAAGTCCAGTCCCCCCTCCCCTCTTGCGTTCAACCTCTCAAATAAAAACAAAAAGTCTAGAAAAAGAAATTCTATCCAACATGGAAAGAGAGAAAAAGTAGGCAAAAGCTTCTCCCTAATATCTCTAATTAAGAGTCATATTTATGTACAAAAATCCTCCACAATCAGATCTGGAAAATATGGAAATTAATGGCCAAATCACGTCCCCAAATTCTGCACCAGCTCTTCATCCGCACGACCTTAAGCCGTGAGCACAGCTCTTTAGAAAATGGATATTTTACATGCAGAATCCCAACCAGCAACTCAAAAATACATCAAAAGCGTCCAAAATCTTCACTATTGCATCATTCACCATCACCTAACCACAATGCATAAAAAAAAAAATTCACTCTATTTATTCGAATATTTGCCCAAAATACCACCAAATATAATCAAAATATAAGTCAAATATACACATCATCACCGGTCATTTAAGGCGTTGGACTACCCGTTCTTATGACGCTCCAAAGTTTCCATGTAACCATTTGCTTGTTGCTCTACGTCACTTTTCTATGGTCCTTGATTAGTATTTTTTTATCCTCTTGAAAAGCTAATTACTAACTCAATAACAAAAGTTGCTAACACTAACGTATGTGGGAAAAAATTACGAAGATATCGAGAAAATTACCATCGCACGTACTGTTTCTATTTACCAACCGAGAATGTCAGGACCTTGTATATTATATTCGACAAAGTGACAGGCCCGCCTAGTAGGCTGTGGTGCGCAAGGTGTAGAATCTGCTCCCTTCCTCATATTTCTATAATATGAAGAAGTATTAAAACCTCAGGCGACGGGCAAAAAAGTACTTCTAGCGGCTGAAAAACGTCCCTGAAAATAGGGTGTGCAAAAACCCAGGACCGCTCGGGACCGCCGGGACGGACCGGAACCGGTGGTTCCCAAGGGGACCGGTCGGTTCCGGTTCCAATTGTTTGGAACCGATGGGTATCGGTCCGGTTCTGGTTCCGTATGGAACCGCCCACCCAGACCGGACCGGTAATATAATAATAATATATTTATTTTTTAAAATTTTAATTAAAAAAATCTGATAAAAAAAAAAAAACGTAACTGAAGACACTCATAACTCTCTCGCTCTCTTATCTCTGGACACTCATTTGATGGGTACCCACTTGATTTATGGATGATGTGGTTAATAGAACCGATCATAGTATAGGAATTGTATGGAAAGTTATGTTCTTTTTTTTTGTTCCGTTGATCCGATGTTGGTCCACATATTTTTTTTTATTTGTCCAGGAAAAACTTGGTGGAACCGGTTCCATGGACGCCCGGAACCGGACCGGACCGCATCCGGTTCCCGCGGAGTCCATGGAACTCGACGTGCGATCCTCGGTCCCAAAATTGAGGACCAACACGTGCGGGTTGGTCCTAGGGTTAGGGGTGGACCGGCCCAACCCGGACCATGCTCACCCCTACCTGAAAAGGCTTAAAGTTCAGTCGTATACTTATTGAGATCTCTCTTTGGTTAGCGGCCGCTAGATTTCTAAGGACAGCTCTAGCTTCTGGTCTGCAAAGACCAGCACAAGGGCTGAGTTCTCATCTCTAGTTTTGAAAGTTAGGAATTTTGAATGTCAATTCATCTTATACACTTAATATAGTAGTGCCCACCAAAAAGATGAGCGGAGTCCGGAGTTGGCAGAGAAGATGACCCTAAACCTAGACGTTACATTCAATTGGTTCTTAGTAAGAACATCAATTTACTATCAAATTATATGTATAACTGTTTGGTGGTCTTAGGCCTCTTTCACTCCAAAAGCTAGCTCAAAAGGTGACGCTTCCCTTCCACTTATAAATTGACGATCAACCTCTTCCACAACCGATGTGAGACAACCTCAATAATCTTCACCTCACACATCGGCCCTGGGTTGGAGCCGCGACAACTCGTATCTCTCCCAGGTGACTATTGGGTCCAGACTTGTTGGCAATCTTGAGCTCTGATACCAGTGTTGGGTGGTCTTGGGTCTCTCTCACTCCAAAAGTTAGCTCAAAGGGTGAGATTTTCCCTCACACTTATAAACTGACTACCAGTCCCTTTCACAACCGATGTGGGACAACCTCAACAATAACATGAACAGCTTTAAATTGCAAGAAGAGCTCAAAAAGTCTGTCAATATCTTGAACCACAAGAGAAAAATGCTCTCTTAACCAATGAACATGTTAAGCAATTCCACCCAAATTAGTAGTTCTAAGCTCGGGAAAATTGTCCAAAAATTTACAAAGGCATTACTAGCTTTAGTTAAACCATGCAAAGTGCAACAACATTACCAAAACTTTTAAGAACGATAGATTTGATGTTGAACTACTATATATACCAAACTCGTAAGTCAATTATGAAAAGAAAAGGATGCCCTCGACATCAGTTTACATTAATCCTGTAAACCTCCATTTTAAATTGAACATAATATTAAAATGAGGAAACTTCTATATTTTTTCTGCGTCCACGGTCGGAGGATATATTCATTCAGTTAGGTGAGTTACAAAGACGGACATCTCCCACATTTATTTTTAGTTAAATATGGATGCAAGTGATATCCATATTTTTATAACTTGCTAATTAGAAAACTGTTTCCTCCAATTAAGGATGGAGAAAAACACGGGGCTTGCAATGTTTACTAGAAAACTAGCCAAAAGAAGATGAGTTATATATCATGAAGCCCTAGTTGGGGATTTTAATCAACATACGCAGTTGGTCTGAATAAACTTATTAGTCAACTCAAACTAAGTTGTCCAATGGTTTATATCATGATTTGCGTGTCTTTATCATCCTCTTTTCTTTTTAGATGTTTCTTTAATAACAAGTAATAGGTTGCGAGATCTTAACGGCTCAAAACATTTCCATCTAAGAGCTGAATAATCCGAACAAATATCTCATGGATAGACACTAGAAATATCATATTACACAGGTGAGAAATCTAAAAACTTCTATCGCTATTACTAATATGAAAAAATTGACTCATTACTCTTAGGTCGAACTCAAGTGAGTGCCATAATTGTATTATGTTCGCTAATTTACATTAGACTACATTATACTATGTCAGGAATAATTACATAAGTTTTTACTACAAACGAAAGTGGAAAAGATGGTAAGTGTTCTCAAAAGAAGGTGAAGGTGCCAATTTCCGACATATGTCGCCCCTACATATGTCGCCCACTTGTGATGATAACTTTAAAACGCCGTTTTTCAAGTCTAGTCGGTCTTAATCAGATGATAAATTGTCGTTTGGGGAAAAGGAATGTGTCCAAATCCATCGTATGTCGTTTTCTGGGAAATTAGGTTGATGTCGTTTTCTGGTAATTTAGTTGGGCCGACCTTGTTTTACCAAGCGGGTGCCATCCGCGAACCGCACTCGCGCGAGAAGGCACGACCAAGAGCCGCACCCCCCGCAAAAGCAGAAGAAATATGAAAAACCGCTCGGCGGTTTTCAGTTTCACCCTTGCAAATCTGACAAGTCCCACTTCCGATTCAGGGTTTTCTCCTGTCTTGACTCTTCTGAGAAAACCACTCAGATTTCAATCTCAAAATCGCCCCTCTGAAGAACACTGTGCTCTCTCCAGAGGTAAGACTGCGTGTACTTTTTAACTCCTCCTCTCTTTTTCTTTTCCTTTTTGTCTTTTTTGGATTTCGTTGATGATTGCTTCTCCTTAAACATGTCTCCTTGGACTTTCACTTTTCTTTCCCTATGTTCTTCGACTATAAAATCGCGCTTCCTGAATCGGGTTATCCTTGAAGGAAGATAATCGCGGTATTGAGTGACGTTGAGGAGAAGGCGAGGTCTATCGAGGTAGGAGGAGGAGAAAAGATTCCCGGTGAGCAGATGAATCTGCATTCGAGCAGCAGCGAGCACATCACGTTCGCCAAGAGGAGGAACTCGCTGATGAAGAAGGCCAGGGATCTATCGAATCTCTGCGACGCCGAGGTCGGAATCATCATCTTCTCCTGCACTGGGCAGCTCTATGAGTTCTCGAGCTCAAGGTCAGTGTACATCGATAATAGATTCGACTCGCGGTGTCTCCCTCTCTCTTCCTCACACATGCGCGCCGCGCACCCACACGTGCACACACGAACCATGATTCGTGTGCATGTGCTTCTTCTTCTTGCGGCTTTAGCAGCTACTTTGGCGCAACTTTTTCTTCTATGTCGCAATTGATTTCTGAGATAACAACGCTGCTTCGACCTAGACCTAGTTTTAGAGTTGAGCATCGCTACCGAATCAACTTTTTGAGTTCTTTGTTATCTCTTCTCTTGTGGGTCACTAGCTATAGATGTTCAGTTCAGTTCAAACTTACTAAACTGATTATTCATTCCTTCAACTGTTAGCGAGTTGAATTGGAACATTTTCCTTAATTTTCCTTTTCCATTTTCTCCTATAAAATCAACAAAAAAGCAGTCGTCGAAAGTCCACTAATCTTTTATATGCCTCAAGAACATCAAATACCGTCTCTCTCATTCTTGATTACATCAATCGTCTAAAGTCCACAAAGTGACTCTTGTTTGTGTTCAGCATGGACTCAGTCATTGAACGCTACAACAATCTGAAGCGGGAAGTCAAACCGGAATTGGACCAGCCACCCATTGATGCCAAGGTAAATCAGATAAACAACCTAGCCTTCGACATTATCATAGGAGAACACCCACGAATGTTAAACTGGTTGTCTGGAAATTTCCTCTTAATACCGTTTGCAGGTTTTAGAAGAAGAGATAGCAAACCTGAATCGTCAACTTCAAGGTCTGCAAGAGTACCACAGGTACATCAGTGTCGCAACAGAAGAGCTTCCTGCAATAGTGTGAATGCTAGTATCCTGATAGTTAAGCACCAATTATGCGTCTGTCAAGTAGAAAGGATTGAATGAATAAAAGTCGAGAGGCATTTGGATAAGTGCAAAGTCTTCATTCTTGTCAAGAACTACTTGGTTTGCCTAATTAAGGCCCATTTTAGTATTTTGATTTTCAAGAACCAATTAGTTTACCATAATTAATAGCTTCTATCGAGATACGAGACTAAATTGATAGCACAAAATTAGCAAAAAGTTAGCTCTAAGTTATACCATGGTTAGGGAAAAATGTTTTGTGCAGTCGCGTTATTTTATTTCCTGGAACATTTCTCTTTAATACAAGCCAAGATAAAATTCTCTTCTAAGTTTATGGTGCTTACATTTATGTTCATACTCTCATCAACTTAATCTCCACCACTCTAGTTTGTTGATGCTTTTGTCACCCACTTCAATTCTCTGAAATGTTCGCTATTCTTCTCTCCATGGACTGAAAATAGTAATACCTGATCCATACTTAGTGCCTTAAAAGACTCTTTCTTTTTTCACGTTCTATCAATTCTCAGTTGCCATGCACACATTTTTTGTTTTGACTTATCAATTATTAGGCATTAGATTTATCTCTGACTCCACATCGCTCACATATGAGCCTCAAATTAGTCTAACGCATTGTAAAATCATGCAAGTGGGTGAGACTAGCAACAGACTTGAGTGGGGCTGCCTTCGGGGGCATTAGAGCCAGGATGGGAATGTTAGGCATCATATATGTTTCTCATATCCCATCGCCCATGTCTGGGTTGTTATGTTTGATGTGTTTCAAAACCAAAATCAAACAATGTTGGGCAGGCGACTGAACTGAGTTGGGTTGCCTTATAGACTTGATCACTTTTTAACACTCCTTATCAAACTAAAATATAGTTTCAAACAATTTACTTTTCTTTGGAGAAATTAACTACATATATGCTTATTGGTTGGCGAATTTTTTACATTTGACCAAATCTTTCGCCTTTGCAACACTATGCTTTGATACAAATTCTTCAATCCTTTCCTTGGACTGTCTTTGTTTGCATATATGCCTTTCTTGTTGTGTTCCTTTCTGTCTACTGTCAATAGAAAAGTAAAATGTGTTTCTTAGTTGCTGTGATCCTTTGGACATAAATCTGAACCGTCAACCTTCTTCAACTTCTTCCCTAGAATCAGCTTCACTTAGGTTGATCGCCAGTTTATATGCTCTATTTGAAGCTTCACTCAGGTCGATCGACCTGATTAGGGCTATCTTCAGTGGTGTTAGAGATAATCATGAGATTCTCCATACCTTTCTTGATTGTGCATATATCTCCCTTAGTTGTGCATATACTTGACGTATCTGTCGAAGCCAAGATGAGTCTATGGTACTTAAGTTTCTTATTTGTTTGGTTTTGTTATTATATTACATGAACCCATACTCAACTCTGGTTATTTTAGTGTAAACCAGATAGAAGACACAGTTCTTTATGGAAACATATATGGCGTGGCTCATATTCTGATGTGGATGATGTTTAAATGCAAACCGTCTTCTTTGATCAAGAGTTATAGTATGAGCAGTTACACATATGGAGGCTATTTGAGTACTTGCAGGCAACTGATGGGTGAAGACCTCTCTGGCTTGAGTGTGAAGGATATACAGAATTTCGAGAACCAATTAGAAATGAGTCTATCGACTATTCGCCTTCAAAAGGTACATTTGGACATGGTATTATCATCCCATTCATGGTTAAACAACAAAATATATATGTACATATCAATCATCTCGTGTTATACTATGATTCAGGAACAGATTATGACGGATCAAATTAATGAGCTCCATCACAAGGTATTGCTTCAGCTATTCATTATTCTTTCTCCTAGTTTGACCATAAGTTAGCTAATACTGGATTAATTTACTGCAGAGAAACCTCATTCATCAAGAAAATATAGAGCTGCAAGAGAAGGTAAATCTTATTGACAAAGAAAATGCAGAATTCCAGGAGAAGGTGTTGATCATGAATGTGCAGACACACACAACTTGGGCACGCTTATGGACGTTCTCTGATGTTGTTTCGAATGTTGTTACAGAACCGGGTTCTCGTCTTAAAATGAGGATATTTGTTTCAAATGATGAGAATGCTTAGACAAAGTTGACAGCGCGTACCGACATTTTGCTGATCTTTGCCCTAAGTAACGTGTTTTATGTTGTGGAGTGAACTATAAATTAAGCCTATCTTGGCAAGATGAATCATACTGGCAGTATTAGTGAATATTATGAATTAGGTTTTCACTCTTTGTTTTTTAGTGATCACCTTACATTTTTCAGTGTCAGATCTACAGGGAAGGGAGTTCTAGTGGTGAAGCCGGCAGATATCATGTATCATATGGCATTAACACCAGAGATGATACAGATATACCAATTCCTTCCCCTTCGAGACGGCCGCCGCGTCGAAATAGGAGTGCGACTCCTCCTGTGACCACAGAATTGGCGTGAGTTGTTCACTCCTTTACACCTCCAACATTGACAAGCCCCGAATACTTTTTATACCTTACTTTTGTCGATATTCTCCAAGAAGACATTAAATCGAAATTCCTTTTGACAGGTTACGACTACCTCAACCAGGTGACTTCAGGAGTCTAGATGATGATGGTTAGCCGTCAGTGCTCCCCCAAGTTTAAAGCGCTGATTGCTGCAAGTTTTGACGTGAGCAAGCAGATCTTTAATTCCACTTCAACAGCCAGACAAAACCTAAGGTTTTCTCAGGAGAATCATATTAAGATTCATTGTAATGATTATGTCCTAATTGCTTGTAAACAGATGATAGCCCCAAATGAGAATCTGGGAACGCATACTGGTCACAGTTTTTTTATTTCCATAATCCTACAGCTAAATTTTGATGGTAACTTTTATCAGATGACTCGGATTCGCCAGTATACTACATGGTTATTTTCTGGTAAATCATTGATCCGATATCTCGCTTAACTGGAGCATTTAATGCCTCTTTAATTTCGTAAGATGGACCTTAAGAAATGGATCTATTGGCATCACACTATTTCACTTTATATGAGAACCCTTACAGAATTTAATGAGGAACTTCATCGTCTTCGGAGAGTTCTAATGCACGCGAGGCATACCAAAAGATCAAAAATTGTATAACTATGCATGACATTTGGTTACTCTAATTATTGTTAAGGATACACTAACCTATTTTTTTTTTATATAATACATTCTGGAACTGAGAAATAGCATAATCGGTAGGTTAGTTATAACTCGTTCATATACAAATATAGAAACGCACATACTCAGTGATTACTTAACTTCATGAGAAAATTGAAGTTTTGAGCTATTAGATTATTGAAATTTTTTATTCATGGAATCACGACCAATTTATTGAACGTGGTTATTAATTGTATCCGATCCATACTCCAAGAACAAAAAAAATTAAGGAATAGTATATGCAATCAAAAGTTATAAATTGTTCCGTCAAACTTTTATGTTCTTCTTATTCATAGCAATCGTAACAACACTTAAGCATTAGAGCAAGGACATTAGAAGTGCTAAAACTTTTATACGGCATTCACTTTGATGCCAAAAGTTTTTTTCTGATCACTTACACTACAAAAAAACATCTTTTTTCCAACGAAATTACCAACAAAAAATTGGGAAAAATTCGTTGGAAAACGAATTTCCAACGAATTTTCCAACGAAAAAAAATTCGTCGGTAATTCTTCGTTGCAAATTTTTCCAACGAAAAATTTCAATTTTCGTTGGAAATTTGCGACGAAATTTTTTTCATTGGAAAATTCGTTGGAAAATTCGTGGCTAAATTCGTTGGAAACACTACAAAAAACCAACTTTTTTCCAACGAAAAATTTGGAAATCCAACGAAATTTTTTTTTGGTCGAAAAATCGTGGCAAAATTAGTTTCGTCGTGACAAAAATCGTGCGGGCGAGGGCCAGCCTCGTCGCCGGCGAGCTCGAGGTCACCCAGATCTAGGCGAACTCGAGCTCGCCTAGATCAGGGCAAGTTCTGGGCGACCTCGAGCTCGCCGGCCATGGCGAGCTCGGCCCTCGCCATGACCGGCGAGGGCCAACCTCGTCGCCGGTGAGCTCGAGGTCCCCCAGATCTGGGCAACCTCGAGCTTGCCGGCCATGGCGAGCGTTCTGGGCGAGCTCGAGGTCGCCTAGATCTGGCCGAGTTCTGGGCGACCTCAAGCTCGCCGGCCATGGCGAGCTCGGCCCTCGCCATGGCCGGCGAGGCCCAGCCTCGTCGCCGGCGAGCTCGAGGTCGCCCAGAACTCGCCCAGATCTGGGCGAGCTCGAGCTCGCCCTCCATGGCGAGGGCCTGGCTCATGGCGGTCGCGCTCGGCCTCGCCGCCGCGAACGCGACGGACACTGCCCCCTTCGTCGGCCAGATGCTCGGCGGCGGCAGGGGGAGCTTGGGCCCGGCGGTGGGAGCGGTGCCTCGCCGAGTGCGCCCGACCAAGTGCGCGGACGCGGTGGAGCGTGTGGAGGCGTCGATCGGAGAGAGAGAGAGAGAGAGAGAGAGAGAGAGAGAGAGAGAGAGAGAGAGAGAGAGAGAGAGAGAGAGAGAGAATGTGGAAATTGAGAATCGTTGCGGGAATAATGAGCGCGAAAATGTTGAATAAGGAAGGAGTAGGGTTTTCGTTGCAAAATTCGTGGGAAATTTCCCACGAATTTTGCAACGAAAATCGTACACACTAAAATAATTGCCTGGAAAATTGAAATTCATGGGAAAATTCGTTGGAAATTTCCAACGAATTTTCCCACGAATTTAAAAAATGCCGAACAATACCGGGTTTTTTTGAATTCGTCGCAAAATTCGTTGGAAATTTCCAACGAAAAATTTTTCGTCGCAAAATTCGTTGGAAATTAGCGACGAAAAATTTTTCGTTGGAAAATTTTTCGTCGCTAATTTCCAACGAATTTTGCAACGAAAAATTTTTCGTCGTTAATTTCCGACGAATTTTACTTTTTGTTGGAAAATTTGTCGCAAATTTGCGACGAAAATTTTTTCGTCACAAATTTTCGTGGCAAAAATCCAGTTTTTTTGTAGTGTTAAATGCCAACTTCAATTTAGATCTCCAGAAATTCGATGTGGTCATATTTTATTAATTTCCCCGACCAACGTGACTCGTCGGTGTGCCTAGTAGGCATAAGATCAGTCAGACCGAGTCTGCAGGCCCGATCCAAACTGATTCTCTCGTGCATCTAGCACGCAAGACAGCCGGCCGAGCGAGATTCGGCGTCGAGCCAGCCATCTCACCCAGCCATTGACCTTATCCTCCTCGGCACTCCAGGCAGAGGAGGTTCCTGCCTGGTCGGCCGCCTAATGGCCAACTAGGCGGTCTCTAGCTGAGACCCAACCGAGGCCTCTTGGGCCCAAACGTAGGTTGAGGTTTGGCCAGCTGACCCAAGCCAAACTTGGCTCGGCTTTTGCCTTAAAAGGGTGCCACAAGACCGTCTCCGACCACCCAACTCCCAAGCTGACCTCCACCGCGCCAGCCAAGGACTAAAACAAACGTATCTCATTCAAGCGTTTCATTGAGCAAAGGATCCCTAGCCTTTCTCGAGGCTCAGGCTTGCTCTAGCGACTACGACTCACCTCCGATGGCGATGACAGGACCAAGAGCAGGGTCAGTATGGGCCGAAGTTCGCGAGAAAGGCGCAGCAACGATCATCGGCCAACCTGCACAAAAACAGAATAAAACAAGAGCCGTGAGACTCACCGGTTAAGGCTTCGGCTGGGGGATCGTCGGTCAACTCATGGGCGATGGCAAGACTGGCTAGGGTTCCCTCTTACTCACTCTTAACTCAACTCTCGATGTCACTCTCTCTCTCTCTCTCTCTCTCTCTCTCTCTCTCTCTCTCTCTCTCTCTCTCTCTCTCTCTCTCTCTCTCTATTTTTTTCTTCCAAAACTCAACTGACCTAATTCTCTCTATTCTCTCTCCGGCTTATATACTGACCGCCAGCCAGTTGCTCCCTCCTTCTGGGTCGCAGAACGCCAGCTCTACTCTGCTATCCCTCCTGGCTGCACGAATTTGCTTGGTGGAACGGCGTTTTGCCCTGCTCGGCAGTGGAGAGGCCACAGTGACTGAGGAGAGAGGGAAAGAGGGAGATAGGGGCTGGGCCAAGCCTAGCTCGCGGGAAGGGCTAGTGGGTTGGGCTAGGCTTGGCTTGCGCGAGAGGGAGAGGAGAGAAAAAACAACAATAAAAGAGAGGGGCCCGGGCCCGGAGGGAAGCAAAGAGAGGGCCAAGTCGACCAGGCCCGATTCATTTTTTTTCTTTTTCTTTTTTTGATTTTTTTCTTTTTTTTTAAAAGGAAAATAAATTATAATAAACTCTATTAATGCAAATGCACATAATGTCTATATGTCATGCAATTAAATAAAATATTTTTGTTTTAGGATTAAAAATTTGACTCCTAATTTTTGTGAAATAATTTTTAATTTGACAATTAAAATTTAGGTGTCAACAGTCGATACCCCTCTTCTAGTTCCTTTATCATAAGGATGGATGAGTTTAATCATTAGCTTTCAGTGAATTCACCCTGAGTACATATTGGTAAAGTATCTACTTGCTCTTAAATTTCCTTGTACCTTTATTTGCATAAGAGAGAAAACTCCTTTCTTGCACATCTATATTTGCCATTTCATGCTATAAAGTATCTACTTGGTCACTGTTAGAAGAGCTAGACAAAGTTCTTTTTTTTCACTCTTTATATATCATTGGAGAAAATCTCATTTCTTCTAAGCCCGAATCCATCGAGCCACGTCCAAAACCCCAACGACAGCATCCTAGTGCCCGCGTCCAGATCCATCGAGGCCAAGCTTGGGATCCCGAGTCTCAACACTTGCACCCAGGTCCATCGAGGCCGAGCTTGGGACCTCAAATTTAGTGCCCCGATCCCCAGCATTTGGGTCCATCGAGGTCGGGCCTAGAACCCCAGTACTCGTGCCTGAGTCCTTGACATTCACACTCGGGTCCATCGAGGCTAGGTTTTAGGCCCATTAAGGATGGGCTCAAACCACAAAGCCTGTGTTCCAATTCCTAGCGCCTGGGGTCCATTGAGGCAAGGCCTATGACTCCAATGCCGATGCTAGGTCCACAATGCCTAGGCTATGGTCCATTGAGGACAAGCCTCAGACCCTAGCCCAGGCGCCAAGGATTAGGGCACGTGTCACGCCCCGAACCCTAATGGGCCCGCGATCATCCCTCGATGGTCGATCATTGAATGCGACGTCCCAGGCACGTCGCCGACCCAACCCAAACATCAGAGATTAGGCACGCGCGAAAACAAATTGAAATAACCCGGACAATTAATAATGACAAGGGGTAGCAATAGCACAAAACAATAACTGTAATTCCTACACTTGGCAGATACATACGACATTCACAAAAAGACAATCCCCAAGCTAGGCCACAACAACAGAACCACATTCCTCGAAAAGGACAATGGTTCGCAAACTTAACTCCTCTACAAAAGGGGAACTCAAAATACCGGGTACTTGACCCGTCCTCGATCGCCGAGATACCCTTGCAACGCCTCCAATCACTCATGGTCGCGGATCTAAAATGGTTATATAATAACCGTGAGAACGATTCTCAATAAGCAACACCCTAAATCCTGCGTAGGCCAATGCGTACCCAGATAAATCGTACAAGCAATCTAACCCTCAACATAGAGAATTCACGTCATTGTACTCACCTCACCATCAAACGCATGCTCTGCACGTTAGTTAAACCTGATAATGCAATATTAATAGCCTAATAACATATCACAATCACTCAAGCACCAACCACACTAGCACTCAATCAATCCAACCAATTCAATCACACATTCAATCAGCCAGTCCAATCAGTTCAATCAATTCAATCACACTCAACT